CAGAACAGCAAAATGCAAAAATGTCTGCGTTTATAGAGGTACTCAGACTACATACATATGAGATAGTAAAGTGACTGGTTCTTAACTCTTTTCTACATGTTTATATGACAGGCCTAATTCACCAAAGCACTTTGTTATGCTTTGTATCTAACATTCACACTCTTACGGATGATTATTACGTTGCCCCTACTGAGGCATCCAGGGATAAAATGAGATGACCTGTCCTATCTCCTGAGCTACAGCTGGAGTTGGTGGATAAGGAGCTGTTTCGAGAATGTCCTGCTGCCTCTGCAGGGTACCTACTGTCTCTTTCCTTTGCACCAAAGCAGATAAAACAAATTCATAATGGTTAGTGCTTTCTAACTGGTTGGATTGATATCCCTGAAATTAAGTGGCTTTGTGTTATCGAGCGTTCCCTTAATTTTACGTTTTTTTTTTTTTTACTATATAGGACTACAAAACTAGACTAAAGTGAATCTGAAATATATGCTGCAGGGTGTCCACTGTTCTAGGTAAATGTTAAAAATGCCAGTTTGAGGTGTCATATTAAATAAAACTAAATACTAAGGATAAATACATAAGAAGGCTAGACAGCAAGAGAATATCTTAAACCTTCTAGAAGACGGAGAGAGGAAATGTACAGATCTGATAAAGGAGCAATTTGATCAAAGTCAATCTGATACCTAATTAACAGTGAGGCGAGCTATTAAAACCAGCTTAAGGAGAAAGAGAGACACCTGATAAAATCAGATAGACAGTGGCCTGGTAAAACTCAACCATGATAATCTCCTTGGAGTGTCAGAAACCTGAGTGGGTCAGTTAGGTAACAAAGATGTTCTCACTGTAGAGGTGTATCACAGCTACAAATACTTAATGTTCCTTTTATAATCTGCAAGATGATCAAGAGCTTCAAGTAAATCATTAACTATATAAAGTCAGTTTTATGGAGGTGTTTATGTGGAAACACATAAATAATGTAATTGAATGTAATAGACAAATTATGATGAAACAAAACAAAACTTCTTTTGGGGCAAAAGTACTAAATCTGTGCCTTTCCCAAGGTTTTTTGAATATATATCCAGCAAGATATATATGGAAAAAAGTGCTTGTGCATGTGTATGAGTGTTTGTGCGTTTGTGTCTGGAGCACTGAAGCACAGTAAAAAAGCATTATATAAGAGCCAGTCCATTTACCATTTAGGAGTCTGCTCAATTCTTCATTCTGCAAATAGCTTCCACTGTAAAAAGCTCACAAGAAGGACAAGAAGGAATAAAGGGGCTTTTGAGCTTGACCTTTTAAACTATGACGCCATCTAATTAATTTCTCTCACTGGATGCACACAAAGAACATTGTGTTAGGATATTCATGATGACTGATAAACTGCGATAAATATTCTAGTAAGCATGTTTTATATTGGGTTATTTCATCAGCAGTACTCGTGAAAAGGCATTTGTAACCTAATCCTACTAACTGCATGTCTTTGGACTGCACAAGGAAGCTGGAGCACCCATGCAAACATTGGAAGAACATGCAAACTTCACACAGAAAAGCTTAAGCCAGATTATGAATTTGAACACTGGACCACTTTACCCTGAGGCACGCTACCCGCCTGGTTTTTGTTTTTAGCTAAACTGACAGAAATTTCTTTATCACCATCTTGTCCCCAACTGGTAACAACAGATGGCCACCCCTCCCTGAGCCTGGTTCTCCTGGAGGTTTCTTCCTGTTAAGACGGAGTTTTTCCTTTCCACTGTCACCAAACACTTGCTTATGGGCGGTGATCTGATTGTTGGGGTTTTCTCTGTATTATTGTAGCGTTTCTACCTTACAATATAAATCAGCTTGAGGCAACTATGCTATGATATTATGGTATTGGTTTGTTTTCAGAATAAACAATGAAAACAATTTAAGTAGGAAACAATTCCAACATTGTGTCAAAAAGTCAATGATTTGCATGTCAAAAACCTGACTTGCAAGCTTAAATTGAATTCCATATCTGAAATCAGTGTAAAAAAATAAGTCTAGTCTAATCAGAGGATGCTTAAAATAGGTTACATGACAAGAAAATCTTATGCTATTAACATTATTAACAAAAAACACACAAAATAGTCCTGCAGAGTTGATTAACATCTTTCTGAGGGCCTCTGATCTGCTTTAAGAAAGCACCTTTGACTCGCAGGCCTGATTCTGGCCCCGGCTGTGCTCCCAGCCCCTGGGACTGGGATGGCACCCAGCACCTGTCTGCCCCCGAGCCACTGTTTGGCGTCATTCATGTAGAACATAACTGAGCTTTCACCCAGAACAATAACAGAGGGATTCCCCAGAGCGCTCCTGCTCAATGCTGACAGAACTGGAGTCAAGGTTTGAGCAGCTGATACACTCCAACATATTGACTCAGATTTTTTATTTTAAAAGCAACATGCAAGGCTTCTCCATCTGCTCTGCAATCAGATGCTCTTACCTTTCTTTTTGAAGTATTCATCTTCATATCCATCGGATGAGTCTGTGTGGTAGTTCAGCAGTTCATTCTGGTAGATTTCAGAGTAGTCCACCTGTTTGCTTTTGGACTTTTTCCCCTTCTTCTTTTTATCTTCATCGCTGTCTGCTGATCCCTTTTTTGCCTTCTTTTTCTTCTTTTTCTTTGTTTCCTCCTCCTCTTCCTGCTCCTCAATTAAAGGCTCCTCATCATCGTCATTGTGAGACCTTTTCTTTTTCTTGCCATCCTTGGACTTTTTATCCTTGGAACCCATCTCCGCGTCCCCCTCCGGGTTCTCTGCAGAGGATTTCTTGTGCTTTTTCTTCTTTTCCTCCTTCACTCCCTCGGTCACTTCTTCTTTGAGTTTCTGTGATTTCTTCTTTTTGGTATTGGTTGAGGGATCATTGTTGTTCTGCTCACCCTCATCATCTTTGCCTTCAATCACAGCCTCAGCATCCTCGTCCTCATCTGCTTTCTTTTTCTTCTTTGTCTCTCGTCCCTTTTCCCCCTCTTTTTTAGCTTTCACGTTCTCTGAAAGCTCCTGATTCTCAATGCTCTCTGAGCTCTTGTGTTTCTTCTGACTCTTCCCCCTTTTAGTGGTGTCCCCTCGGGTCAAACCGTTGCTCCTCTCTTTTAACTTTGGCTCAGTTTCCTCCACTTCGTCATCAACCTCTTCAGTTTCTCCTGAAGCTGTGGATTTTTTCTGTTTGGACGGCATCTTTTATTCATTCACTTCCCTGGCCCTTAGTTTCGTAAGAGCTGCGTAGAGTTTCTAATGGTGTAAGACAATTCATTTGACCCTTGGCTGCAGAGATGCTCTGGGATCGTGGGGTTGGAGCAGCCACTGAGGACACACAGATGGAGGGATGACTGCCTGGACGTCTCCTACCTGGCCACACAGCCTGCAGACACACACACACACACTCACACACACACAAACACACCATGCATACACACACATCACTCATGAAAAATTAGTGTCACTTCAGCACTCACATGACCCACAGGAGAAAGCCCTGTGAAAAAGGAGCCTTGCACAGACAACTTATCCTCTCTGCCACGGCACCCTGTATTATTCATGGTGTCAGGATCGCTTTACGGGCCGGGGGTGTCTCGCTTTTACCTGCAGTCACACTCATACAGACAGGACCCCAGACACGCATGTACACATCCACACACACCCCTACACACAGACACACACACAACTTTACAACTACTTCTCTTTGTTTATTGTTGCATCGAGTGTGTCTAATTCACATTCACAGGGTAAAAGCAACTTCTACCTCTATGTAATACTCAGACAGCATTGATTTATTTTACTCAGTGCAACTTATAATGAACTCTAACAAAGGTAAGAGCAGCACATTTTAGCAAATATGCTGCTTGTGAACAGGCTATGGCCTGTCTCAGTCAGGAAAAAAAAGTACTGGCGCTGGCTGGTGTCGAGAAAATTATTTTTTTTTACAGTTTCTCCTTTATTTACAGACCAAACAAACACCATAAACAGCATATATAGTTATTTAAAAATAATCAAATCAGTTAAAAAAATTAAAATTACTCTGATGTAGTTTACAAATTGATGAAGTAAATGAGAAAGTTTCTAGTTTTTGGACATTATTCATGATGCAAGTCAAAACCAAATAAATATATACATATTTAATACCCCAAATAATACAGAACCAGAATACAGAAATTTCCTCACATCATTTGCCCAGAAAAAAAAACTATTTCTGTTGTGCTTTAATGATGAAGAACGGGAGGAACTATTGAATCTAAATTAAAAGTTAAATCATCTGCGTTAGCATCATTTTCCATATATCAGGGACTTATACAACAAATTATAAATAGAAATAAGAAAAATAAACTTAAGAAATAAATAATAATGACACCCTGTTTCATGCATAAGTTCCTTTGCATTGCTGTTGTACCTCTGCCTCACTGACATACACATCTGCATTTGACAATGTGCCAAATCATCCCATTAGCCTTATTGCTGCCATCTGACACCTGATGATGCAGGCATCAAGGAGAAGGGCAGAGTTTGGTCATATTGGTCTTTCAACATCAGATTACCCAAAGATTGGCTGACAGCAAAGAGTCAAACCTCATTGGATTGCTTCACTGCACTTTTCCTCCCCAGGAGTTATCGTTTTTCTCTCGCCTGCCAAAATTTCAAACTTTTTTCTAATTCACATTTAGCTCAGCTGCCCTAAAATTTCAGTTTCACAGGTGTGCAATAATTTTTTGAAAAATGCACCACTCGGCTACTTATACCTGTGAGTTGAGGACATCTATTTGTTTTAGCTAGCCTTTTTTTGCCTGTTCTTGAACAGAATCAACTTTTTAGGATAGCTGTGGAGTGCACATTGAGGCTGTGGTTTTACTAGTTTATTGTTTTACACTTTTTTTAATGCAGAGTTTTAATGCATGTTTTTATTCATGTGTGGTCACATTTTGGTTTCACTTCACACAGCAGTGCATTCATTCACGCTCTCATCCCAACACAAAATAATGAACATACAAGTGAAAATTCAGACAAGTTTATTTACAAGCACAGTAGCAGTATAAAGAATGATCCAGAGTCATTTAAGAAGCACTGTGTTAGATATTACCTCCATTCTTTACACAGACCAGATCCCCTCTATTTCCACTCTTGCTCATTAACTGTGACTGTAGAGCAATTTAGCTCGAAACTTTTTGGTGCTGCATAAACACACAAAGAGTCTGTATAAAGACATGAAGGAAACAGCTTTTTTTTTAAAATCTTATTTGTAATGCATTCAAAGAAATAATGGACAAGTGCACAGCTGAGCATGAACAGAGGAGTGACTGAAAAGTAAAGTTACAGTCTTACAAGTGAAATAATTTGTTGCATACAACAAAACAAATAGCAAAACCTTTTATGACTTTCCAGTGTACCACAGTAGCATAATACATTTTTGGGGGTCATAAGTGAAAATGATACCACATCATCTCAGCCACTTTAACATATCCATCAATCTTTCTCCAAGCAAGAGTCTTGTGTACATCTCCAAAAGCACTGTGAGCTTCAGTTGAGGCTTAAGTGTAAACATAGGCTATATCAGTGATCGCTGAAGCAGGCACACACAAAGCCAAGTATAGAGTAAAGTCATGCAGAGCACTACGTGGTTATGAGTGGAGTTTACAGGGAGGGACTCCAGTAGAATACAAGCCATGAACTACACATGAATTGCTTTACCTTAGCGTGTTAGGGTTGTGCTTGGATGAAAAGAGGCAAACTAAAAACTTTGTCTGCACATCATACAGAGGGATTCCATACCTCATAAGGCAATAAGGCTTAAGACATGAAAGACAGCGATAGGCTGGGTTGCTTTAAAAACTGGAAAGCCAAAAGTTCTGTGGAGTTGGTGTATTGCAAAATATTTTTCTAGCTTTCACCCTAATCTATGACACCCCACTCCTCCCCCAAAAAACAAAAAGAAAATCTTGCCTCTTTTCCACCAGAAATGATGAGAAATATTTGGAAATGGGAGAAAGAAGGCCGTGGAAAACAGGCCGTTTCAAGAGTGTTTTTAAAATATTCACCGAGGGAATATGGTGAATAGGAAATAGATTACAAAAGTAGACAACTGAATTTTACAGTTTGATTTTCTTTTCATATTTTTTAAAATATTAGCTGAATATTAAGGTTCAGACTTTGTTTTTTTGTTGTTTTTTTTACACAAACATTAAAAGCTGCCACACCCACAGAGTGTCTGAGAAAAAGAGAGAAGAAGACAGGCTTAAATATCTGTGTGACCAAGTAGAAAAACAACACCTCTGTACAGCCGAGCCACTAGAAAACTCCACAGAAACAACATCACTATGAAGACCACTTTGTTCACATTAAAAACAAGCATCCAATGGTCTGACAGTCGGAGATAACCATGGTGATTTTACTGAAGTGAAAAACTTGAAAGATGCTGGCAGAAGAGAAATCTTCAACATGTAGATGAGAGTGTCCCAAGGCCAACTCTGTTTGAACTGGGGTCAAAATAGTTGCCTGAACTGAGATTGCCGTGATGAAAACTGGCCTAAACACAAATTAAAAGGTAAAATCTTGAGCCGTTGCATTAAAGCAAATTACTAATTAGAGTGAGGGATCATGCGCATGGCCCTGTGTGTACGTTGATGATCCCACGTGTATGCATGTGAATGAAGTTGAAAATTTCATGAGGCATTGCGTGAAAGCCCGGCCGTGGTTTGACGTTGTCATAGTAGTGGTGTGTGATGAAGATGCCAGAGGGGTTCATAGGAAACGCCCAGAAACCGTAGAGGTGGACCTCTTCGCACATCTCTAATGCGGCGGTGACTAGCATCAGGCCGCTGCTGAGCCGTTTGGCGCGGACACCCTGCACCGCCCAGAAGCGCTGCACGTTAAGCAGATACTGCGGGTGGAAGAAGAACACACCTCTCTGGGAGTCAAAATCATCCAGCATATACTTAACTCTGAATGACACGTCGGTGTTGCGGGTGTTGTAGAACGCCGGTAGCACCACTGAGGAGTTTTCGTAATTCTGAAGGACGTCATAAAACGGCCTCCGCCATTTCTCCAGCTTCTGAAATCTGCAGAGAAAGTGATTCGTGTGATAAAAGGAAAAGATCAGTGGCAGAAGCTGAGCTAAAGAGGTGTTCTTTCTCAGACCCATATTTACAGTACCTCTCAGTTATAATGCTCGGGTTTATTGTCACCAGATCTGTTTTAGTCCCAACATCTGCTGAATATTTGTCATTAATGGGCGGTATGTTGCATCTGCAAAAAAGGAAAATAACGTTTCACTAGAGTTTAATAATCATTTAGATTTGACTTGATATGTTTAAAAAGAGCCATGCTGAGGAGACAACCTGAAGAGCTGCACAACTAATCATATAATAGTTTTAATAAGAAGTTGTTGGGGTATTTTTCTTTTTACAATAAATTACATAAATTGGCTAACCAACCAAAAATCCAGAAGAAAACACATTACACAAAAGGCATAAACTGATTTGCAGGTCATTAAGTGAAATCTGTATTGATCCCCTACCACCCAGCCAGAATTGTGACTCCCACTATTAGTGATCCTCCTGATCTCAGTTTGTTATGTGCATAAAGCCGTTTCTACACAATCTGTTTCTATTATTCAAACCTGTCTGCCACCATGGGCAAGAACAACGATTCGTCAGAGGACGTCAGAGACTAGATTGTAGACATGTACAAGTCAGGAATGTGCTACGAAACCATCAGCAAGAAGCTTAGTGAGAAGGTGACAACTGCTGGTGCAATTATTAAGAAAAGAAAATTATTAAGAAAAGAAAAAAAAAATAAAATCATAAAGTGATGAGAACCTTTCAGAAGACTGAAAATGGGTCATGGGTCTTTCCGCGTGACAATGACCCAAAACAAACCACTAGGGAAAAGGAGCGGGGAAAGAAGAAGCACATTAAGGCCATGGAGTGGCCCAGCCAGTCTCCAGAACTTAGTCCGAGAAAATATATGGAGGGAGCTGAAGCTGCGAGTTGCCAAACAGCAGTCAAGAAATCTAAAGGATTTAGAGAGTTTCTATAAAGACGAGTGGACTAAAATCCCTCCTGAGATGTGTGAAAACTGACCAGCTACAAGAAACGTATCGAGATACTTTTCTCACTCAATGACATGAAACTCAATTTCTAACTTTTATGTAATGTTTTTTTTCTTTATCTTTATCAAAATGAAACTACCATAAAAATTAGAAAGTGTTCATTTGTTTGTAAGTGAGCAAACTCACATATTCAGCAGGGGATCAATAATTATTTCCACCACTGTAACTGGAATAAACAGGAATTTTAACATTTGAATTTCTCTTGGTGAAGCGAGGTCTATGGGACTACACTGATCAGCAACAACGTTAAACCACTTCATATTCATTTTGCTAAAAAAAACTCTGATCCTTCAGGACATTAACAATGTGGATCTGCAACATTGGCAGCTTGTCATGCTGAATCCCCAGACACTCAATCAAATTGGGATTTAAGGTGTTTGAAGGCTCTGTCAATACCATGGGCTTTTGGGAAGCCAACGATACTTGGTTGGAAGTTAAATGTCAAAGTTACAAAGTTCCATTTTTGTGAATGGTAGAACCAAGGATTTACTAGCAGAAACTTGGATTCTACAACGATCCAAGTAATACACTTCAGTGGTTTTGATGTTGTGGCCGTTCAGTGTATAGATTTCAGAATTTAGTGCTAGTTTATTATTTGATGACTTCTTGTCATGTAATTTTTCCCAAGTTAAAGTTTTAATATTTAATATTCATTCATTATTATTTTTTATTATTCATTCTCAATTAACCATCAATAGTTCAATGACAATTTGTATGTATTCCTCAAAATTAATATAAAGATCAAGAATATTAAATCAGAACAGAATTCCAGGTAACACTGTACAACTCTCGCATATCAAATACTAAAAGATTGCATCGTGAATACCTAAAAACAAAATCTGCTGAGTCAATTTCCTTTCCACATTTGCTGTTCTTGATGATACCACCATTTCCAATGACAGCACATTTCTTGAACTGTGACTTGGAATACGGCATATCCTGAAAGACATGAGGTGGTAATGTCAAATGAACACAACACAAGAACTTTTGAAATAAAACATATCCGATCAGCAGGTTTGGAAATGCCCACAGATACAGTAGAAAATAGCAAACACTCATAAAGAGGTGGTGAACTTACATCTGGTAACATCTTGAAGATCTCAGTAGTAATGGGAAGGATACCACTGGTGTCCACCTCATACCTCAGCTTGGTCCCTGCAGGAGTGTTCCTCTTGGTTGTGAACAGAAAGTTAGGAGCATTACAGCAGCGCGACAGAGACATCCTTCAGGACGACACCAAAGAAAAGTAAAACTTAGCTTTAGAAGATGCACGGTAAGATCAAAACCAAAATTATTTCAACCTTTACATCCTAATTGCTTTGGGTTGTTTATCAAAAGATGGTAATTACAAATTAACAATGTCTTTTTAAATAAAATGTTACTTCAGCTCTTGATATCTTCTTAAAACATACCTTTGATTAATGAGTTTGCACATTTTTTAAAGAGCCCAGAACCCAAAGATGATAGTTTTATAGATCACTGGTCACATTGTTAGATACACTTGCTTGTTAATGCAAATGTCATCCAGCAATTCAATGCCTTTTGGCATGTAGAGCTGGTCAAGACAACCTACTAGGTGGTGAATTACTTTGAATGGTTGTTTCCATACAGGCTGGTATTTTTGAGTATTTCAGGAGCTAAGGATTTCCCACACAACTATCTCAAGGATAAAATATCTAGTGAGTGGCAGTTCTCTGGGCAAAAATGTTTTGGTGTTGCCAGAGGTCAAAGAAAAATGACCAAGCTGTTTTGAGGTGACAGGAAGACATCAGAAACCCAAATAACCATTGATTACATACAAAGTATACAGAAAAGCATCTCTGAATACACAACATATCAAAGCTTGAAGCAGATGCGCTACAGAAACTGATGCTAAAGTTCACATGGGCTCTCCAAGGACGTGATGGAGATTGAGATCATGGATGTGCAGCTAAAAATCTATAGCAACTGTGTGATGCTATCATGTCAATTGGGACCAACATTTCTGAATGTTTCCAGCACCTTGTTGAAGCTGTGACACCAAGAGTTAAATTATTTCTGAAGACAAAAAGGAGTCCAGCCCAGTATTAGCAGGGTGTAACCAAAAACGTTCCCATTGAGTGTATATGGTAAGATCCTGAACATGTTTGCTTTTTTCTTTTCCATGTAAGAATATACAGTATTTTATCCAGTATACTAATCCTTCATCTTATTCTACTTGGCTATTTATGATTCCCCAACAGTCAGTTCATCGAAATATTGTTCTATAAAATTTGGGGTTGGTATTCTCCATATCCTGTACTATTTGTACATATTTGGCTTGTAAAGTTTACTCTATTTTAACTACATTTTATCAGCAGAAGTAATCATTAATTTTCTGTAGAGGACTTCCAAACCAATAAACGTCAAGGTGATAATAGATAATAATATTAAGTATGTTTCTTTTAAACTATTCAAAAGGTAACCAGTGCACTTCACAAAAAACACAGTCTTTAGAAAAAAGACCTTTTCGATAAATGCAGACATTTACATACATAATTCCTCTGCTCAGAATGAGAAACACTTACTTAAAGTTGCTGGCCTCCTCCTTGTTCTGCTCCCACCTACACACCTGCAGGTTTCGCCATCTTTCAAAGAGATCTGACGTTTTCACCCTGGTAGAGAGACGGACAGGATCGAGAGACTTGTGGGATGAGGAAAGACGACTTTATTCCGACTGACATGGTTTTTCCAATTAACCATTATTTCTGCAGAGGCAACAAATTGAAGAAACGCCTTAAATGTTTCAAAAAGATAAACCAGAGGCCCAAAAAAATTACTGCAACTTTACTGATCACCCTGGATCTCGACTCATTAACAGAAAGCACATCTGTAAATAGATGTCCTTGAACTGACATTTCCTTGGAGATGATTGGGGCGGCGTGATTTGCTCTGGGAGTCAGGCTTGTGCGTTCATTTTGCTGCCTGCCAGAGTGACAACAGCTGTTCCCTGCCGCAGCCAGAGTCGTTCTAGGGCTTTCATTGAGCACTCAGTATGATTTTGATAATTAAGCTGCCAGCCTGAGGGCCACATGGAAAAGGTCACTGGACATTGTTCATATTCACACAAGAGGAAAGATGCTGCTCAGATTGCCTTTGGAGCAAGTGGCTCATTGAATGAATCTGGCCATTGATCTACTGTATGTTGTAAGCATGTTATTTATAGTGTCCTGTAGTGATAAGAAAATAAGGAGAGCAACAACTTGGCTCAATAGTGTTGGCAACAAAATGGATGTTATTGAGTAATGAAACTGCTCAAATGGTCTAGAATTGCCTGAAGTAATAACATAAAATAATCTGCGCTAGCAAATGTGTCAAATGTATTGACACTGTGTGTACTTACTGAAACATGTACTTATTTTTGTTTGTCTTTTTGGTCACATTATGGCATGACTCCAGACCTGAAAGTGTTGTTTACTTAGCTGGTTGACCTTTAATAACTCAATAACTATTACGGTGAACTTTTATGATCCTGTTTTATTTCGCACCACTGGATGGTTGACAAAATTCATTGGGTTGCCTTGAAATCTTTCATCACGCCAAAAATGTTGGCACACAGTGTCAAAAACTGCTGCCCAACAGCAAGAAAACAAATAATATTGGTCTTCTATTGGTGGGCCTCTTCACCATGTTTCATGGTGCTAGTGCTAGTTTAGCCAAAATAAGCAAGTATTGCTTTCTACACTCCGCACTAAAACACCCTGTATATAGGGAGACTTTGCAAATTAAGCCTGCTAATGTTAGCTGATAACACACCACCTTCTCATCTTAAAATAGCCACTTCTAGCGTTAAAAAACCAACATGTCAGAAGTCAAAATGCTAACACAGGGGCTTCCAAAACAGAGCTTCAAAGACAGCTAGTTAACATAACAGAGCTCTCATCCATCTTTAATGGAATCATGTTCAAGTATCTTCAAATACTATCCTTTTCAGATTTATTTTGTGCCTTGTGCAGTATTAAGTTGTAGCATTGAGAATGTTAGCATGCTAGAATAGATTTAGCCCATTTTTGCTAACAAAGCCTCGCCTTACAAATAAATAATCAGAATGTTGTTGACACATTTAGCTTGCATTCATCACACTTCACATGATATTGCAATGTGTGACATACAGATGAAAAGTTCTGCAGTCATTAGTTGGCTATAATGACTGTAAACTAATGAGAATTTAAATCTGCTGAGATGTGTCAAGGTTGTCAAGGAGGACAACTTCACTAAAACCTGACCAATACTTTAGAAGGATGAGCAATTCTTGAAAATGCCTGTAAAACTACCAATACTACCTTCACCATGAGCACAATTTGGGAGCCACAAGATGACCATTTGTCATCATCAATATCTTGCCAATACTCTTGGTGGAGCAGTCAGGGATGATAGACATCTCATCATCAAGTTTGAAAAATATTTACACCTAAAATGCTGACTTTAAGTAATCTGATTACATGTAAATCTCACATGTAATTTGGCTAAACTGGTACAGTGTAATTTAATTATTAATTACTTGAATAAATAAACTTTTCATTTTATATATTTCTGTTGCATTTAGTTAAAATTATTGCTTCTTTGAGTTCAGTTAATCTACAAAAGAGTTTAGAACTCCTGCTTTGACTTGGATTCATATAGTTGTCATCCAGAAGCAGACATTGTTTTGAAAATGCTAGTTACTCTTACGCTGGTGGTGATGCTTATGTTTTTTTCTTCTGCTACTCGATTTATCTTCACTGACACTGTAAACCCTACTCCTGACACATGAATACTTTCATACATGATAAACACGCAGGATTACCTTGGAGATTTTTTTACCTTGTTAGATGTAACATAATCGGACACTCACATTGTCAGCACTTTGACGTCTATAATCTCCTGTCTGAGCTCCCTGCATGCAGTAGAGTTGTAGTCAAAGGAGCCATCATAGTTTTCCAGATACCTGGAGGGATAAAAAGAGTCATCCTCTGCTTACATCTATTCAACATAAGAGAATTTAACAATAAACAGAAGAGATAAAATACACTATGCTTAAATAATATATGTATATATGTAAAACAGTGTGTTTAAAGGTCACAATAAGAAAAAATATTTCATTTTTAATATAAAATGTCTATGGTTTGACTTTATGAAATACTAGAATATCAGTAGAGCATTGTGGAATGACAAATGACAGAAATGATGTCACTGATTTTAGGCGTCACAAACAAGATAGTAACATGTCTACTGGACACTTGCACCAGATTCTGTTACATCTTAGTCTAAACCAATGTCATACACTAAGTGAAGAAACGTAGCACCTCTCATATTTTTATATAGTTCACTGGCTATGATGAGAACTTGCATGGTGTACCATTGGTACTCTGTGGCTAAAATGTGTGCATACACTGTATGTTCATATGTTGAATTAGGAGGGAAACAGACAAGGAAATAGGGCTGATTCCAGTGCTTGGCTTGCTAAAATGGTGGATTAGACGGTTTAGCGGTGTAGCATCTGGTGGTTATGAGCGTGGCCGTGTCGGTGCTTTTGTGTGAGGAGTAAGTATATCAGCTGTGCTGGCTGGAGTAACGTGACAGTTTGACTGATTTATTACAATTTTGTCACACTGTAAACATGAACACATACAACAGTAGTCATGCAAACAAGTAACCATAACAAAGAGGTAATAACAAACAAAGAGTTTGGGAGGAATTTTATCTTTTTTAATAAGGACTAAAGAATTGGAAGAGCTTCTTTTAGACACATGTGAAACAATCATTACACTGGAATGGCAACATTAACCAAAAAGTATACAAAAATAATGTCTTTAATGTGTGGTGTGCTTTTGGTTGGTTTCACAAAATGGTCGTGTGGAGAACGCTGGAAAAAGAGCCATGCTGGCTGGGAAATTTAAAGTCGGCTGTCGTATTTCTGTGTACTGATGCCTCGTTTCTTCCAGCCTTTTGTTTAAACGTGATCAGAAAGCGGTCAGGATAAAATGTGTGTGTGGCGGGGGGCGTGGTTAGTATGGAGGAATAGGAGCCTGCTAGTATTATGTTTTGTTGGGTAGTCGAAAGGGATTTTTAAATATCACTAATTAATATAATGCTTTGTTGAAATAGTTTGGACGTACATCTGTGAAGCAAAGAGACTCCGTTATGGAGATGTTTGGTTTCATCCTAGGGTTAGAAGCACAGACAGTATCAAAGATGCACGTAGCCACCATGACAGGAGTTATTAAGTTGAACGTTTTCATGTGGTCATCCTGGTGCTTTAAAAACCAGGTGTGGTGAGCAGGCTCCGACTGTTCAAAGAGTAAGGGACTTCACCCCCTGCTGACCATTCAAAAGAATGCAAGCCATGGTGGCCTCACCTTCAGACCCAGAAGCTACATCCATCTTTCACACTGCACATGTTTAGAAGCCAGGGATGTAAATTGAACTGAACATGTTACATGATTTAGGTTCTGAGGGAAAAAAAATAAGGAAACACATATATTTTCCCTCATGCTTATCCTATTACCACAGCACCATTTTCTATATTTCTGCTGCGATGCCTTCAATTCCTACAGATGCCTGCTAACATTAACCCTAGCTAACTGTAAATACATGTGCGACGGAAATCTGTCATGGGTTTTCCACGTGCGCTTCTTTGACAGTACATGTAACATGCATGGACTCAATAAAAATTCAGCACTATATAAAGTTATTCTGCCATTAGCACTGTAGGCCACAGTCTTGCTTTAGTGGGTATTTAGATGGGTTTTTTTCACATTTGCGGTTTTTTTCCTCTATACTCACATGTTCTTACACCATCAATATGATGCATTTGTAAACTGTCTTACCCTCATGAGATTGCTATCTTTATCCTGATCCAAAATCTTCCTGTTAAGGTTCGGCAGTGAGCCACAGAACTCATCCATCTCTTTCTGGCTTCATTCACCTAAATGTTTTTTGTTGGCTTGTTTAACCCAAAGGACATATTGATCTGTTGTATATCTTGTGGTAGAGACTTTACTTTTCTTTACATCTTATTGTTAAACTGAAAGAATTTATATACTGGAGAACTACATCAGAATTTTAGAGGGCTCTTGCAATGCTAACAGTGTTTTTGATAATGCTTGGTTGGGGACATGATGTGAATTGGGGCAACCTGCAATGTGTCTTTGTTAGAATGAATGTTGGTATCTGTCGCACATTAAATGGAGCATTCTGTTTTGAAAGATGAATAAAACTGCTGCATATTACTTGTGGCTGTGAGGTAAATGAGGTGAGTTAACAAAGTAAGAAAAAAAAGATTATAAAAGGATGCAACAAGCAATACAATGGAGAGATGCATTAAAGGAACAAGATGCTGGGATAAGATTGTACAAATAAGGAACGATGAAACTGGTTGTCTACATCCACCTGATGATGCAGTGTATTTCTGAGGTTATACAGAGAGGAGCGGTGGTCTTATAGAATATATTTGACACGCTGAATAGAGGCTGTTCATTCTTGTTTTAGCTAAGATGATAAAACCTTTGCAAGTGTTCTCTGTTCAGGTCTGAAATCAAGACAACAATTTACTCCATGAGGTGAATTTTGTCGCTTATGGCTTCTTAGATTGACTGCGCAATTGCTGATTGAAAAAACCAATCCAAGATGAGCATTTTAGCACAATTTTGTGGGGTGTGGGAGACGGGGAGGGAAAAAAATCGGGCACGTTCCTGTCTTCTTGTAACAAAGAGAGTACAGTGGGGAAAAGGGGTTAAATCCAGGTCGCAGAGAGAGACAATGCAGATGTGAGAAGGGGAGATAGGAGGAGCGGAGAAGAGTGTCCACACTATGCATATGGTATACACACAGAGCTGTGCAGAACAGTATGAGACATAGGTTGACAAGGCATTTTGAAATGGGTGCTGGATGCGACACAGAGATACAAGGAGAAGCCAGTACATCAACAGGAGACCGTGGTTCAACCAGCTTCTGAAAGGGGGTGGGGAAAGGGGGTGGGATTTAGGGATTTGGGAGTGGTCGAGGTGGACGGGATCAGACAACATGCAAGAGCAAATCTGAAGTGCAACCACCACTGAAAAAAATATGAGAGTTTATCCCTTTTAAACTAATGAAAAAAAAAGAGAGAGATATTCTTGGGTTTCTGTGAAAATGCTAAAAATGCCTTCAAACTGGCCTACCTTTGAGGGCGTTTTTTTTTCTTCTTAATATCAGCTAGGCAGGGTGTGACTATTACGGAGATCTGTGAATCTGGCTGAAAATTCTGACGGAAACATCTGTCAACATGCAGACAGGTTAAGTTAGAGTTAAACGTGTGATGTAGCCCTGTGACATCAGCAACCCCCTGCTAGCTTCCTAAACCTGCAGATGTCAATAACAAGTAGAGAAAAAAAGTGCAAATTTCCCTCGGCTTGAGCCCTTTCTACAGCATCTGAGGGGAGTCATGGGGTATCAGCGGCCCAGTCCACGCATGCAGGGCTGGGTCGTCACTAGAGAGGGTGGATTTGAAACTTGTGATCTCTCGTTCACTCTGCCTTTCAGTCTCTCTCGCTCTCTCTCTCACACACACTCTCTTTTGTCAGAGGTGTTGTGCAGTCAGTGGCGCTGGAAAGGTACCTTTTCCTTCCATTTCTGGCAGGCTTCAGAGATCCGTCATCGGAGAAATTAACGGGACCGGTCCAATTTCCTGTCTCGTCCCCTTTGAGTCGGCTAAACTGTTGCGCACTAGTAAGAAAATCAGTCAGTTTATTTGGGATTTATTTTCCCCATTGTGCAAATGTCAAACACATACTCCCAATCGCATATGTTCAGTCACAAAACCCAGAAAACGTTGTACCTTTACACACTCACACATGCACATACAGAGGAAGAGGGGACCAGCTTTTTGGCTAAAGAAAGACAGTATATGACACCAAGCAGGGTTACAGTGACACCGTGATCTGAATGATACATTTATGCTGGGCTGATGCCACTAATCTGAGTGTGATTCAAACATTCACACTGTGCAATACTTGCTTGCGCGAGCGTTAGACTTGTAAATCAATATACTGAAGTGAGTGATTTAAGAGACGAGCGATAATCAGTTCCAACCGGCCAGCAGATTTGCCAGTATTAAGCTGCCAATCTAGACCATCTTTTCATCCAGATATTACTGAGAAACAAAGGGAAGATTGGTTTAAGCCACCAGATCTAATAGTATTCAGTGAGTGAGAAGAACCTAACCCAGGTGAGGTATCTCAATTTAGAGCTAAAGACTAATACATCAATACTGTACTTAATAAAAAGATGCAATGGCTTGCAGAAGCTTAACCTGACCTTTGGTCTCGCTATGTTAACTTCAGCTGGATGCCATCACAGTACATTTATCAGAGGAGGTCATTTGGTGCATGTGCTTTATAGGATGTTATAACTGTGCCCAGAATAAAAAATCTCATTCTACAGGAGCGAGAGCCAGGATTTCTTTGAGGGAGAAAATGGAGGAATGCAGCTATTTTTAGCTGTCAATCAAATCTGAAAATGGCAGTATTGTTTTGTTGTTCTCAATAAATCCATCCTCCTCCTTTGCTGCACATGCAGCAGATGTTACTTAGACAGGAGGAAAATGTGTTGAAAGCTATTTTCAGCTCAGTGTTTGTGCATTAGAAGGGTTTCTGGCACCAGGATTAAATGGTAAATGTGATCTTTATGAAGGGAAATGTCAGCACGTTAAAGTATAGTCCTTAGTTTTGTGGGGAAAAATGTCCAATGATTTGAAAACTTTTGTGCTTTTCACATGTTGTTTTTTTTACTTAAAATTTGATTTTCTTTGATTTTCTCAACATATTAATATATCTCCACTTGTGACGACGCTAATCACATTCCATACATCCAAATATCCAGAGGAGTACAACTTCTCCTGTTATGCTGACTATTATGCAAGTACTCATGCGTGACTCATTTCTAGGAGTGCTTTGTAGGTGTCGTGCTAATTTCAGCAGGAGGAGATTGAACCCAAAGAGCATTTCTGGATGCATTATGTGATGGAGCATTTATCATCAGGGGCTCACATCAATACCAATCCGCAGGCGCGCTTAGCTGCTCTGAGTGCCACTTCAACATCTCCATGGCAGCGGCTGCAGAATCGAACGCTAAAAGTCGAGAGGCTTCTGTCCCTCTTCTTGTGCCTCAGACAGGACAAAAGCTAATCAACACTATTCAAAGCGGTACCGCTTGGTTCATTAGGTTATCTAACCTACACCTTAAACCCATAAACCTCTCTTCCACAGTGTGTTTTTTGTCCTGTCTTCCTCCCATCACCACCAGCCTTCCCTAAACCAGGTTCTGCCTGAGGTTTTTTTCTGTTAAGAGGGAGCTTTTTCTTCCCACTGTCACCAAGGGCTTGCTCAAAGTCGTCTGTTTGATTGTTGAGGTTTTCTCTGTATTGTTGTAGGGTCTCTGTCTTACAGTATGGGGCTACTGCTGTTGTGATATAAATAGAATTGAATTAGTCATAGTCAAAACAACAAGCCTACTGCAGGCTTGAGTTTAATCTGACATACTTCAGTGTTGTAGCAAAAATTCAAACTCCAAAAGTGATTACTTGAGTGCTTTGACAGGCTGGTAAGACTAGAAAAGCTCCATACAAATGTAGCTACATTAGATTACTTCTGACTCACAGATCAGCTTAGGATCAGGATCAGGCCTTAGGAGCCCATCTATAAGTCCACATGAGACGCTAATGCAAGCATTTGTAGACAAGCAACAATCACTAAGTTGCCCTGTAGCACTAATGTGCTCTGACTCCATCAGCACATCGATCTGGATGCTTTTTCACTGTTGTGTGTTTCTCTAAGACGACCTCGTCTGTTGTTCAGACCAAAACTGAAAACTGGGCTGTAGCTGAGCCTCTCCTCTGCTTGTGCTCTTACTTACCATGTGCTAACATCAATGCTCAGTTACAGCTGTGTCAACAGCACAAAAAAAACCCAACAAAAAAACCACACGCACAAAGAGAAAAGGCTCAAAATCAGGGAGATACAGCTCACTTACATAATGCAACCGGAAGATTTAATAAACAGCCGTGTGTGCATGACTCCACGGGGCAGCCAGTAATTTTGTGAAATGATTAATTGAAGCAGTAATAGACTCACTGATAATGACTATCATAATTAGTTGCATTTACACCGCCACTCATCATCTGTGCCTTTCTTAATCCCTTCCTCCCTGCAGCCCGGGGTGCTATTCTCTCTATCCAAGAGTATTTTTAGATCGCCCTCCTCAAGTCAAGCGGAGTTGAAAGTTAATGTCTTCGTTCTCAGAAGTGTGTCAGCGGTGTCCCTCCACGATCTCGGGCTGCCACTTTATAAGCCTACACTCTCCACTTCACCCCTTTGGATGGCACCAGGATGGCAGACAGGGAGCAGATTTATGTGTCTCTCTAAGGTGCCTCCTTTCAAACTGAACGGTCAGATTCACAGACAGATTTCACGTCGTACTGTTTGACTTTAATGGGTATCCTCATGCATTGAACCGAGAGCCCCTATAACACTGACGTATACACAGAGTGAGTTGATGTAAGAGTGATGATACATCTAAACTGTTACTCCATAAGCCATCATTCAGTTTGCCAGCACCCAAATGTCTCCTCTGCAACCACCCTAGCCAGCCTACATGCCTCACGTAATTACCAATCTGTTTTTATGTTTTGTTTTTTTCTGTGAAGCACTGAAGCAAAGAAGTGCACAGCAAGCATCCTGCCAATGTGTTCTCCGGCCAAGGTTTGGAGGAGGGAAGAGGCTGGGTGTGGCCGAATCCATGTGGATGACTTTTGATTGTTTATGCATGGGTAGATATCATAAGATGACGCCTTCTCTCTCTCTCTCTGTTTCACACACACACACACACACACACACACACACACACACATGCATGCATGAAAACACATTCCTTTTATCACACTCCTTGGGTGTCTCACAGTCCCCTTCCTCTTTCCCTCGCTCCCACTGAGGTGTGTGCAGACAGACTGTAGCAAAATGGCTGCCGCTGAGCCAACTGGTTTCTGTTGTGTGGCTTGTTCCCCTTCTCTCCTAGGCCGAGCTCTAGGAGGAAAGCAAAAAAAGGCGCAGGGGCGAAACAAAGTGTGTGTGCTTCGCGTCTGAATTCATGCATCTCACTGAAGAAGTCAGGATGCCATGAATCCATGCCGAGTATTATCAGACCAGCCCGGCAGGGTGGCAAGGGAGGGATTAGTTGTGTGCGTGTGTGTTTTTTGGGAGGGAGGGAGGGGGACTTTCAGATTGCAGCACATATATGTTTGCTTTAGCAAGCATATATGTCCTGTCGGTAAAGTATCTGGAGGTGGTGGTGAGAGGGGGGTAAAGTTTTATGTTTCTTTTTGAAGCACCTGAAGCTCAAACATCCCAGCTTCTCAACATCTGCTCGTCTCACGGGGATTTTAAGCACAGAGTATAAAAGAAAGTGACCTGAAAGTTGGGAAATAAATCTTACAGTGGGTTTACAGTGGACTACAAACCAGGGTCCAACTAAAAAACGCCCCTGTCAAGGGGTTAAATACTGATGCAGAGGCATGAAACGTGGCTCTGCAGTGGCAGCATGTGCACTAGGGTGCAGCCTGGTAAAATGAATTATTTAATAGGGACCAAAAAGAAATACACATCATCTTCAACATGCTGCTTTCTGTCATCATCATCATCACCATCATCATCATCACCATCATCAGCTCCAGTAGCGTTCATATGTGTTATGAAAATCTGATGCCTCTGTCAGATGTAGGCTACGACCAGTCAAGAAGGCTGAAACGGAAAATCAAAGAAAGGTCTTTGAAGAAAAAACGAAAAAGAAGGGGAAAACATTACCATGCACAGCTGAAGCACTGTGTATGGTATGAATGTGATGCCTCGTTTTCTGAAAATATCAAAAAACAAAAATAAAAGGAACAAAAAGGAAAAGAAATCCAATGGAAACTGTTTCTATGCCACTGGGGAGAAAGAAAAACATGGATGGTTAATTGCTATTGTTCTTTGCAGCCACTAAAGCTTGTCCCGACATGTAGACCATCCAGACTACTCTCATTTCTACTGAGCATGTTCTTACCTCATCACTCACATTTTTACCTTTTCCATTTAAAAGCCACTGATATGATCAACAACGACTACAAAGGCATGCTTCTTACCGCTCACTGTCATCCTTACACTCTTGGAAACTGACTGCGCTCTAATTTGCTTTCTAATCGTGGCTGAAGAGAAGAAAGGAGTGGGGTAAAAAAAAAAATATCAGCACTTACCTCTTGATGTAGTTTTTCCCGTAGAGAATCTGCTGCAAAAGTGTGACGAGCCCAAACGCGCAAATAAATATGAAACAAAGAGATCTGCTGCCGAGCAAGTCTTTACCCGACGATGGGTCGGAGTATCCCATTTTTCGGCGCAGCATCCAGGGCTGACGGTGACACCCGTTTCGGTGTCTCTCTTCGCTGCATTCAGAACCAGGATGGCAGGTGTCTCGTACCCGCTGGAGTGGACATTGTCCATCACATTGTTTTCCCTTTTAGTCTGTTTTACTGTTCTCTGACCACAGCATCACCGGAGGAAGGTGATGTGTACCGGGATCTGCGCTTGAGATCTCAAATTGTTACTGACCTTGTTTTAAAATACGCGATTCATATGTTTTGTTTTTGTTTTTAATGTCTGAGTAGAAAAGCACGAACGGCCCCGGAGGATATTATCGGTGCCTATCGGTTATCGCCCTATACCCGCTTCGAGGAGGCGCAGTCTCTCCGTCGTGTGCAAGCGGCGCAGATTTGTGTAAAATGCGCGCTGGGTGCAGATTAAATCCAGAAATCTCAAGTCAGACAAAGCAAAGGCATCGATTCTTACAAGCGCGATTCTCGCTCTTTTTCTTTAAATCGGGGAGCTGAGAGAATAACAGCGAAACACATCCCTCGTGCGTCTTGTCAAATCTGAGCAAAGGTGCGTGACTGAAATCTAAAAAGGAAGGAGGATGCGCCTTTTCCCAGCCAGGCGGACGGGGGCGCGCCGTAATTCATTTAGATGCTCCATACTCAGCCAAAACCCAAGGTCACGGTCTGCCGTTCAAGTATGCGTCTGCGCAGACACGACATCTACAGCCGCCCACTTCACATGACCTCGCAAAGCTGATAACAAAACAAAACAAAAACAAGTTTACCATATTCCACCTCTAAGCTGCGAGCCCGAGCAAACTTAAAGAAATGACCAGATTATCTTCCATTACAAAAACGACACTAGATGGAGTAAGAACTAGAGAAGTAGTAGTAGAAGTACTATGAGTAAAGACTGTCCTGCAGAGCCAGACCATCGATGTCAAGCTGATCTGTAACTGGACGGTATCTGCAGGACTCCTTCTGACTTCTCCTATTTCTGACTGACCCGTTTTAATACAAGGTACATACAATACATACAACTAAAAAATAAAACATTTTTTAAAAATGTGTCTTGTCATCCTATGGCATGTGTTGCCTCACAGCAAGAAGATTGTGGGTGTATGGACTTGGAAGATCTCCTGGGGCCTGTGCAGATTCACTCCAAGGCATTCCAGCTTGCCTTGTTTCTACCTGTTAATACCCCACCTTTAGCCTTTTGCCTTATAGGGCAGCTACGATAATCCCAGCATCCCTGAAATGGGTACAAGGTTAAGAAAATGAATAGATGGATGGAGGATTGATTGATTCATTAAGTTGTCCTCTGTCTGGCAAATAATCAGCAAGTGCACCTCACACAAAGACTATGTCAGTATTATATTTTGTTCTGAAGCTAACTAACATGTAGTCTTTTATTCAATAGGTAGACAGAGTACGGATGGAACAGAGGGCCAGTTTACCATATTTGAAACACCTCAAATATGTAAAACATGTCCACATGTGTATTAGCATTCTCTTTGGTCATAGGAAATTTGTAGTAGGCAAGCCAAAAGTTATTGTCCCATCAGACTGAATAGTTCCTTGTGCTTGTATCACTGTTAAACCGAATCTTTGTCATTTTCATGCTGGGCTCTAAAGCCTGATATATGGCACGACATGGTGTTATTCAAGGTTATCAGACAATCGGGACAATTGTGTGCAGCGTGGTGGTGAGATACAGTTGAGACAGTGTCTGGCACAATGTCTAGCTGTATGCATGAGTAAATTAATGAGTGATTATCTTTGTTTTTTGAATAGTTTATTAGGCTGTTGTTATGTGGTTGTACCCTGCAGTGTTATTACTGCTGTTTGCAATCACTCTTCAAGTGAATAACTTTTAAGTATTGCTAGAAATTAAATGAAATGTAATTAAATTACTTCTAGACAATTGCAGTTGCTATTCTGTGTTTTAGAAATTATAAACTTTTTACTGCTGCTCATTAAATTAAATTGTTAACAGAAATTATTTTTTTTTTTAATTCATTTTTTAAGACTTTTGCATTTGCATTGAAGTTGTTAGGCAGCTATACAGAATTATGAATGGATGTTTCAATAGCACCACACTACTGTTTCAGCTGCACTTGACATGGGTACAATTGAGGACAGTTGGAGTAAAAGTGGGAGACAAATGGGGAAAAAAAATAAACTACTTATAAATAGTATTGTTTATTATTTTTATAGTACACATAAGGGAAGCATCATATAAAACCTAACTTATTTTAATTCTTGGCATTTGTAAGGTCTGATTGACTGCGCATGATTGTGGTCACAGTGCGAGTGAGGACTTTAAGGTTGTACTTCTTCATAATGTTCATTATAACAGCATATTTGGGAAAGTACTGCGAAGTATGGACTAAGGAAAGCAGCCAAGAGGCAGTACAGAGAGAAGCTGGATGGCTTCTATTCTACTGCTAACTCCAGGTGGATGTGGCAAAGCCTACAGCACATCACAGACTACAGCATCAGCTCCATAGACAGTCTTCCAGATAATCTCAACACCTTCTACACCCGCTTTGAGACCCTCAGGTATAGCACAGAGAGGAGGCATGCATACAGGACAACCTGCCCTTCACCCCCTCCCCTAACTGGCTCATCGGGTCAGGCACATAAAGAACTGAAAGAGGTCAACCCTCACAAGGCAGCAGGACCAAACAACATCCCTGGGCAGGCTCTCCTCAAGCATGTGCCAGTGAGCTAGCTGATGTTCTCAACTTCATCCTCAACATTACCCTCAGCCAGAGCACTGGTGCCCCTTGTTTAAAAAAAAGCAACCAGTGTCCTGCTTCCCAAGACGAGCCCGCCAACCTGTCATGAGCACACACTCTGACCATCATGAAGTGTTTTGAGAGAGTGGTGCTGGCCCACATTCAGAACAGCATTCCGGACACTCTATACTCCCTTTAGTATGCCTACTGATCCAACAGGTCCAGCTCAGATCCTACACTTTTCTCTCCCTCACTTATATAGACACACACCTATCAGAACTTCAGTCAGCATTACTACAAACATGGGCTGAGGGATGCGTTGAGGGATGCATCCTCAACCTTGTTCACCTACAAATGGGTCGCCTATCACAAAGATAGCATCATCCTAAAGTTCACGGATGATACTGCAGTAACAGGACGCATGACTGGCAGCAACAAAACCTACAGAACCACCATGTGGCAACACCAACGCTATGGACCACAAACGCCTGCAGAGAGAGGTTGGGACTGCTGAAAAGATGATTAGAACTCCACTGCCCTCTCTGCAGAGCATCTACCATCATAGAGTTCATAGGATAGCTGTCTCCATCCTCAGTGACTCTACCTACCCCCAACATGGACTGTTCAGACTTCTACCCTCAGGCTGGAGGTATAAAAACATGAAACCTAGAATCTCCAAACTAAATAACTCTTCCTTTGCTACTCCCATTTGGGCCCCATTATACCTGCAGCAACTTCATCTCACAGTCACTTGTATTCATACAAACCATTAAGGTGCAAGAAGCCGCTGCAGTATTCTCCTGAACAACAGGTGTGACCACTCAGACAATATCGCTACATAAGTGCTGATATAGGAAGAAAAGAAGTCAAAACTGGAAGCCATTGTCAAGCTTTTTTCCCCCCCACAAATTCTCAGGTTTCCAAACCGTTCCAATATCTCACTGTACATTTGCATGTCTCTGAGCTTCTGTACTGGAATATCATTAAAGTGGTGGTAAAAACCAGCACAATTCTACACTCCTGTCTTCAGCCCAGCTGTGGTGGTGGCGGTTACAAAAATCGAGAGGTGCACAACCAGCCAAAGTGACACAGGATGTGATGTCAAATTCACCACACGACACCCATGACAACCCCCTGTCATGGGTGTCACGGCAGGTATAATGGGGCCATTAGACGTCATCTGACGTGAGCGTACAACCATGGTTTTACAACCATCTGCTTTTTCTCAAGTTACACACAGGTGATTGCCACTCATTACTGTTTCTACTGCACATGCTACTGTAGCATGCTAAAATGTAAATTGTGTAAATGTGTGCATAGCCTTTTGCAGCTCAGTCTTTTTATTTTATTTATATATATTTAGCATATCTTATATTTCTATTGTATTTCTTTTATTGTACCTAGTGTAGTTCTTTATAATTGTTTCTATTGTTTTTAAATTATTTTTTTTCTATTTTTTTCTGCAGAAAAAAAGAAAGGATTTCATTGCATAGGAAACATGTTTCTGTGTAATTTGAATCTAGAAGATAGGGTTTAAAAATTTTGTTCTAGTTTCTAACTAAATGTTGAGTTTTAATAAATATTATGAAGTACTGTACGAGTATTTTTAGTTTTTAGGCTACAGACATTAAAAAAAGCAAAAGGATAAAAACACACTTCGTATTTCCTCCAGCTCTTGATGTTTTTATATACAATATCAATGTAAGCCTTATAAAGATGACATGTGTCATACTACGATGTAATAATGACTGCGTTTCTTCTGTTAACTCATCAAATTCTTATATTTTGAATATCACTCTTAATATTAAATAAATACTAATCTCAAACACGACTTACTCGACATACAATTTATAGAAAACAAAATAAAACAAAATACTTTTTTACTATAAGTTTTTTCTTTCATACGGGCATGCGTCTGAAAGGTCGTGTTTTCATTAAATAAAAACATGCACGCCGGTGTCGCCACCAGTCAGCCGGTAAGTAAATAAAATTATATTTTTGTTTGTTTTTTGTTTTACCTTTTGCACAAAATGCTGTACGGAGGGGTCGCATTTCTTTGTTACACAGGAAAAAGCACGGATGTAATTTGATGCAGCTCCAGCTCCTCTTCCGGTCTCTTTTCCCACAGCCACCGGAGAAAAATGGTATGTTGCAGCGCTGGTAGACAGAAATCTCGTAACATCTGTTTAATATGCCATGTATCTGACACGAACTGAAGCCACTTCTGTGTCGGATAAACACTGTAACCGGTTGGATGATGTATTTTTGAGATAAAGTTTGATTTTAGTAAAAATTACTGTTGTTCCTGTCACATCCATCCAGCACTTGTTTGCTGCCGTTAGCCTTTAGCACAGTTGCACTGAATGGGCTAAATAGTGCTAGAAGAGGACAAAATAGCGTAAGCTTGACTTTACCATCGATTGTGTTTTTTTTTCCGGTAATCAGAAAAATAAATGCATGGAAAATACATTTACGGTTGTTTGCTGGCAAAATGGCAACCGGTGTTTTTCGCCGATGTTAGCATAGCTAGCATCTTTTTCATGTGGTCAATTTCTTTTGGTAACGTGTACAAAATTAGTGTCGTCAGCCACTGCAGATTTTGTCTGAGGAAAGCACACCGGCGTTCAGTGGCCGTAAAGTAACTATCATTTGAGAATTTGTGGCAAGCTGAGGCCACGAGTTGTTGCTACCACCTGAAGTACAGTCTTGTCAGTGATGTTTTTAAAACACAAATGTCTGAACAAATGACTGCCTGTGATTCCTCCTTTTTCACTGAGACAAGACTGGCCCAGGCCTGGTCTACAATCAGATCTCCTTGAGTTGTCCCTGATCTCACATGTTTGTCTTGCTTCTCAGACCAAGGGGACATCATCTTTCGGTAAGCGCCGGAACAAGACGCACACCCTGTGCCGTCGTTGTGGGTCCAAAGCCTACCACCTGCAGA